AAGAGACAAGGCTTACATTTGGAATTATCCTGGTCCAGGCCTAATGGTATACATTAGTACTAACTACATAGCATGCCTGCCTGGAGAATTTCAAATTCATAATTTCCTTTTGATTTGTTTTAAATTTGTTTTCAGAGCTATGGCCTGTGGTCACTTAATCACCAACCCTGGTTCAGTAAGTGGTATGTTTTCTATAGCATTATTATAGCTCTACCTCCATGGTGGTGTGCTATAGGCCATAAACGTTTCTGGAAAAACAACTAGTAGTGTGGGAAGTCAACTTTGAACAATTCACTCAACCTCTCTGGCCTCAATTTCCTTATTTGTGAAGAGGAGGAAATCCAGATTATCTCTGAGGGTGTACTTAAAATAAAAATCTGTGGAACCAAATACATTTTTGGTTCTTTATTTTTGTAAGCATCTGTCTGGCCTATGTAGCCCAAAGGAGGTCTCTGCTCTGTGGTTACTTTTGAGGGCTATCTTGCCAAGTGGTACTTATATTTCCAAAAAGACATTAGCAGAAGCTCAACGAAGTGATCTGGAAATAATTTAAAATGCAGTCATTTTTAGCACTGGAAGATTTGCCATTTGTCATTGGGTCTTTTCAACGCAAGCAGGAGTGTTAGAGTAATGTTAAAACATCATTCTCCAGCCATAAAGTTTCAGCAGTAAACAATGGCAGGTTGCTGACACACTGGAGAGAACTGGGTTTAAGGTGAATACATTATCTATATGAAAAGCAGGGCATGCTGTGAATCCAGCACAAGGAACTGAGCAGACAATTCCTCTTCATGAAAAGCCATTTTCTAGGCCTCCAGACACCTTCTGGAAAGTGTTCAGTGCCTCCTCACTGAGTCTTAGGGGGACTGGGATAACAGTCTCGTAGTTTATCCCAGCATAATGGAATCCGACTCATTACTGCAGCTTCTCCACAGCTGCAGGGGACACCATGCAGGTTCCTATGAAGCTGATGAATATAGCTTTAATTGCCAATGCCGTGCCAATACATTTTAATTAATGTTTCAACAATATAATTAAGTTTTGAATTTGCACACTCTTATAGCCATAGTAGTTTGCTGAGCTGAAGAAATGAATACCAATATTAATGAACCTATTAATTGAAACAGCATGCAGAGTAAAGATCCCGTTACTTAAACACTATCATTGTCACTTGTACAATAATTTAAAAATATTAATTGAAATAAATTAAGAGCCTAATGTATTCAAGAGAAGGGGTTTTATTTTTTCAAATAGACCATAAGACTTGGCAACCACCAACCCCTCAATATTCTGACATTTCTCTCCCAGATATGCTCCCATCGATGAGCTCATCCCTTCCCTCTTTGGAATGCTGCTTTTAACTTTGTCTTGTTTCATACTTTGCACTTATAAGAGAGCAATTAATCTAATTTTTGTGTGGCAAAAAGAAAAACTGTCTAAACAGCAATATGATTCTGCCTGCTCTGCAGAGATATTTTAGGTCTTTCTCTCTGGAATTCTGAGTGACTTGTGGAGCATGTGGTCTGGTGAATATTAAACAGTGACATGATGCTGTGCTGTAAGACACTGGCTTTCTATAAGGCAATAGACCTACCTGTTGCCTGGATGTAGACATTTCAGCTTGGAATTTCTAACACCTGCGTAAAGATAGCCAGTGCGACAGCAGTGTCAGCATTAGGAAGTCCGGTGAAAAGATTAATATACGACCTACACCAAAGATAATCCGAAACAGCTATCCCCAAATGACTCTCAAGAAATCAATACTGATCTTTACTAACATGATAGAGAAGGGAGCAAATGTGCTTAAACAAGTGCTTAAAACAAAACTTTCATATAGAAGGGTAGCCTTATGTTGAAATGTGAAAGTTCACTTTGGGTTTATGTTTGTTTCTGCCCGGCTTACACTTGAATGGAAGATATAAAACAAGCTCACACTGAAGTTTTCTAATTAAGGGACTAATTTTTATGGCTGAGAATGCACAGTAGGCTGCATTGAGGAGAGAAAAATACATTCATCTTTCAAGGGAGAATGCTCTATTGAATTTGTAATGTAATGGTTGGTTTTGCATTATAACCATAGAATTTACTTTCTAGGGTTTTCTAGATATTTTTTTGCCAAATGTCAACTTTAAAAATGTCCATTTTTAAGAAGCCAAACATAAATTATAAAATGTAAGCAGACATTCTATCTGCATATTTGATCTATTTAAATTGTTTATGATGGACATAATTTTTTAGTGTTAAATATTTTTCAAAAAGTGGAAAAATTGCCAACCACAAAACCAAAACCCTGACATACACACTTATTAAAAGTCATAGCAATTAAATATTGTTTTCCTTAGTTTATCCTACCAATGTCTACATCTTTATAAATTTAATTCAGTTCAACAAATAATTTTTAGGCATCTATCTAGTGAGGGCATTTGCTTAAATGCAGTGATGGGGCTTTATTTTTCCCCTTTAAAAGAGCATAAGAGAATACAATTCGTAACATAAATTCCAAAGTCTCTCTAGAGCTATAGATAATTATGAGATTTACTGTCTTTCATTTCCACTTCCCTAACTTGGAATGCAAACCACTAAGGTGATAACTGAGGGTACAGAGTGACGGAGTTCATGGTCTCAAACTATGGTGGTAGGAAGTAAAGGTGAATTGGTACATCTACTCAACCAGAATTTTGTTTTTGGGAATCAACTCTAAATATATATTTGTGGTTTTATGAAGCAGAAGCAGGGGAGGATTCTAAGGTGTAGAGAAGGCAAATGTAGTTGGAAGTAGAGTCTTCATGACAGTACACTTGTGCCCTGGAGGGAGTTCTCTTCTATATTTCATCACCACACTGTTTCCAAGTTTGCATTGGATGCATAACACCTCCACTTCTGAACCAAGACCAGGGCAAGAAGGCAGTGGAAGAGGAGATAAGAAGAATAAGCTAAATAAGGAAGGACTGGCTTATAAATGATACTCTCAGTGAGTAGAAATACCGAATGGATTGCATTGACGGTGGTAATGGGGACGCTGTTAACTTAATAGAAATGAAATGAGTGAAGTCCGAAAATATGGAGGTCTGGGTCACCAAGAGCTTATGGAAGAATAGACAAAATAAGGAGGGGGAAACTACTGAATGGTATGCCATTCTGACAAACTCTGATGACATAAATAAGGAGATTTAAGTGCACAGTTGGAGTCAAGTGTAAAAGGGTACTTTCAGCCTATATGCTTTGTGAGAACTTTCGGATGCTGCTGGTGTTTCTTCTCCCACTAGCTTTAGTCAAGTCATGTAACAAACAATGTATTTGCTCATCAACATCGTCTTGCCTGTTCTACTCATTAACATCACTGCCTAAACAGAGCCTCAGACTATGAAATATGGAAATTCACTTTTGCCCTGCAAAATATGGAAACTACTGTTGCCCTGGGCTGCATGAATTGCTCTACCATTCCTAGTATCACCCAACAGGTATGGGCCTCTGGACAGAGGTATGCAACAACAAATAAACACAAGATTACTTATTAGAAGGTGCTTCACCTTAGGATAGTCATTTATTAAATGGCCATTCCAAGGCAATATTAACTTCACTGAGGAGTCAGTAATGAAAAATACACCTCCAAAGGTAAACAATTTATTTTTTGAAAATTTTATACGCAGAGCAATATTTTCTTTATTTCGAGCATGGTTTCTCAACCTTGGTGCTATTAACATTTTGGAGTGAATAATTCTTTTGGGGGGTGTCTGTCCTGTACACCATAAGATGTTTGGCAGCATCCCTGGACTCCATCCGCTTGATACCAGTAGCACTCCCTACTCCCAGCCATGACAACTAAAAATACGTTTGTAGACATTTCCAAATGTTCCCTGGGGAACAAAATCCCTCCTAGTCGAGAACTACTGATTTAGAGTATTAAAAATACAAAAGGATAATATCACTATACATACTGTCAATATTTTATTTTCTGAAGTAAGGCATACTGAAAGAGAGCTTTGGTTGGTAAAAGTATAAAATCTGAGCTTTAGTAATGGTACACTTTATAAGGCACAGAGAACTTCAAAACATTCATTTCATATTGAATGTATAAATACCCACATGTGAGAGCCCATATCGATTCAGTTTGAGTATGTCTGCCTTGTGGATTTTTAAAACCTTTCCAGCCTGGGTTATTTTCCCAAGCTTTCTTTATAATTACACCAGGGAAAGAGTTACCTGGCATTAATCAAAACCAGACAGTGGACAATGACAAAGAGCTAGCATGAAGAAATATTTCTCTTAGAAATTCCTGGAGGGAAAACAAAAATTGATTAGGGAAAAAGTTCACTGAGTTTTGTTGAAAGGTGAAAAAGATTGAAAACAAGTAGGGACACACAAAAGCAATTATTTTTTACATGGTTTATCTAGGGATAGCAAATGTTTAAGCCAACAGAAAGATAAAATAGCTGTTTCAAATTCAGCATCAAAGGTAGTCAGAAAATATGATCTACTGAAAGGTATAAAAATCCTTTAAGGAACTGTGTAGAACAAAATGGTTAAATACAGAGTGAAATCTCGAAAAGTAAAACCTGAACTGAATCATCTTAATGGTAGCACAAAGGTTTCACACCTCCAGGCTCTGTATGTAAGCAACCTTTCCTTTCAGCATTATTTCTAGAATGCTCTTTGACTTTCTAATGCCTTTAAAAACAAATTTAATAGAACTTTTAAAGTATTTTTCTTCATTCCTAAGGATTTCACAATCTTTTTAGTCCAGTGTTTTTTATTTGCTATGATAATTCTTTGCTAACTTTTTTATGTTTTGCTTATCCAAGTATTCTAGGGGTCAAATATCTGGAGAAGATTTTACAATTCCTATGGAAACATTTTACACATCATTTGAGCCATTGCTTTTGTTATAAATCTAGGAAAATGGCTAAATAACCATTTTATGTTGCTTGAAATAGGGATAAACATAAACTAATATTAAAAATTATCTTCCTCTCTTTTAAAAGTAACTTTGTAAATAATTAGAAAACGTTCATTTACAGAATGGCTTTTATATGGAAACCTTCCAAGAATAGAACACTAGGCAAAACTAAAAGTACACTTTAAAGTTCTTCATTTTTGTCTGCCTCTGGGACATACAGAAATCTGAGACTGACCTACACCTCTTGTGAATTCAGTGGTTCTCCAACTTACCTTGCAATCACAAAGAGTACACAACTGACTCCCAAGCAGGCTAAGAGCACATACATCCAAATATCTGGAGACAGGGGGTTGAGGAAGGAGAAAACGCCTGGATTGGTACCATTGGGCTTCCGGTAGAGAATGCTGATGCCTAGGGTCATGAAGGGTTTGGAGAAGTCAATGACTTTCTCCCGCACGTAGGTGATGGTAAGAGGAGCCACTGCCAGGTCAGCCCTCTGCAAAAGCAAGTCCAAAATCGTCAGCTTAGTCTAGTTTCTTTGCAAATGTCTGAACTTTTCCTGGGTACTCCTGATTCTTATTCCTAACTCTAAATTCTTCTCACTCGTGAAACTCCTGTGATGATTGATTCTAATACAAAAACAGTCTATTTACACAGTTACGTTTATGAAACAGTATCAGCAGAGAAACCAGAAAGTATAAAATACACACATATGTACACAAACATATATAAATCATTCTGGAACTAAACGAAGACAAAAATGCAGGAGGATGTCTTTAAAAAGGACATGTGAGAAAAAGAAGGAATGAGCAACTTGGTTGTGCTATTAATTGACATGATGAGATTTTGCTCTGAGCTGAAAACTTTAAAATTCTTTTTTTTCTCTCTCTCTTTTTTTTGAGATGGAGTTTCGCTCTGTCACCCAGGCTGGAGTACAGTGGTGCGATCTCGGCTCACTGCAAGCTCTGCCTCCCAGGTTCACGCCATTCTCCTGCCTCAGCCTTCTGAGTAGCTGGGACTACAGGCGCCTGCCACCGCGCCCGGCTAATTTTTTGTATTTTTAGTAGACACGGGGTTTCACCGTATTAACCAGGATGGTCTCAATCTCCTAACCTTGTGATCTGCCCGCCTCGGCCTCCCAAAGTGTAAAATTCTTAGTTTAAGAATCACTCAAGTTTATGTTCAGTATGAAAGAAGGACCCACATGATATGATTTGCCTCGGAGTCCCCACCCAAATCTCACCTTGAATTGTAATAATCCCGATGTGTCAAGGGTGGGACCAGGTGGAAGTAATTTGATCACGGGGTAATGGGCTCTGGTGATTATGAGTGAGTCTCATGAGAGCTGATGGTTTTATAAGTGTCTAGCATCTCCCCTGCTTTCACTCATTCTCTCACCTGCTACCCTGTAATGAGGTGTCTTCTGCCGTGATTATAAGTTTCCTGAGGCCTCTCCAGCCATGAGGAACTGTGTCAATTAAATCTCTTTCCTTTATAAATTACCCAGTCTCAGGCAGTTCTTTATAGCAGTGTAAAAACAAACTAATGCACCATATATTTTTATCATTAATCTTTATCTTTGCTTTCCCTTCTGAGTAAGCAAACTCCATTTCTACGTTGTTTTCTTTGCTTCTTAAAAAAAATTGTTATGATTCAAGAAAAGGAAACATTTCTTCTGTCATCGTTTTTTCCTTTCTTACTTTCTCTTATGCATATTTTCAGATAGGTTAGAAATACTGTTACTTACGTGATCTATGAGTTCCTTAACCATCCCGTTCCACTCCCCTTTGTCATTCTGGGCCCCGTATTTGCCATCCGGAACTAGTTTAACATCATAAATGAAACCCAGGATGTTTGACAATTCTTTCAACAGGTCCAGGCAATAACCTTCAAATCTGTCATTTCCATATAGAGGCTTATCAGATTTCCTGTACATAACATAGGGTTCTTCCTAAATGAAACAAACCAAATATGAAAACCCTATTATAATGAAAGGAAGAATTTATCCCATCAGCAGCTCAAAGATGTGACATATTTGGTAATGATTTTGAAGAGCTGAGAGTACTGAAGTCATTCACTCCTCTGCCTGCCTATGTCCTGTATAAATTCAGAACACTTCCTATATTATAGTTTCTTTCCCTTCTGCCTCTTTCGGTGGGAGCTTTTCCTTCCTCTGTGGAGGGTGCGGCTGTGTGGGAATGGTGTGATGGATACATAGTCACATTTAAACGTTGGGTCTGAGAAGAAGGAAGGTGCAGAGGGCAATAGGGGCCCAGATGCCTGGCCACCCACTGTGCCAATACCCAAGCTTTTTTTGTATGACCCGTCACCCTTCTGGCTTTTTTTTTTTTTTTTTTTGACGGAATCTCGCTCTATCGCCCAGGCTAGAGTGCGGTGGGGAGATCTTAGCTCACTGCAAGCTCCGCCTCCCAGGTTCAGGCCATGCTCCTTTCTCAGCCTCCTGAGTAGCTGGTACTACAAGCACCCGCCACCACAGCTGGCTAATTTTCTGTATTTTTTCATTAGAGATAGGGTTTCACCATGTTAGCCCGGGATGGTCTCGATCTTCTGACTTCGTCCCGCCTCGGCCTCACGAAGTGCTGGGATTACAGGTGTGCGCCACCAAACGTGACCCTGGCTTTTAACTAAGAACCTCAAGACAGAGAAATCTATATCACCAAGTATTTCCTTTCATTCTTTGCACCTCCTATCTATGACTATTCTCATTTCTTCATCTAAATTTCACCTCAATTTCACTATTCACTTATGATTTATATGTTTTGATTGGTTTCCTTCAGGGTAGCCTATTCCAAAGGCCATTGCTATGTCTTGTTTTTTCATCTTTCCCATCTTCTTTTTTCAAATCACCTCAAATCTCACATCTGGTCATTTTCTGCTTATACACATACATCATCAGTCCCCTCTCCTATAAATAATGGACATTTCCCTACTACCATGCATCTATAACTTGTTAATTCTCATTTGACTGAATGAATGCTCATTTTGTTTCATAAAATTATAATAGTAGCTATAGTACTGACATATTCTTTATGTTTAGGTTTATCCTCAAACTGATAATGGGGTCATTCAAACACAGTAGAAAACCCTGTGTTTTCATAAAACAGGCATAGAGAAAGTAGTAATCAGAAGAGCAAAACAGTTTTTACTTTGGATGAACAATTCTCACAAGTTAATAATATCAACAATAAATTGATTTGACATTGTGGACTGGTGTATGGCAGGATGTCTGCAAATAAGGATTTCAGGGAGGGCTACCATGCCCAACTCCCTGGAGAAAGGAAAAAGCGGAAAATAAGCAACTGGTAGCTGTACAGTGGCTGGATGGGGCATGACCAGGGCTCTAATAGGAGGCAAGACTTTCCAAGAACAGTTAGTAAAGGAACTGTGTACAGAAGTGTGAGCAGAGCAAAGGGAGCCGAGGGAAGTAAGGGTCTGATTTGGCAGCAAGTCATAGACACACATGCAACAGCCTCTTTGGGAAACCTGCACCACCCAGGGCTGAGGCAGGAGGGAGGAAAGAATACTCCTGAAGCTCAGGGCAGCTGGACCCTAGAAACAGTGCTACTGACGGGCAGAAGCTATGGTTGTAGAAAGTCAGAGGTTCTGAAAAAACTAATAGCAGTTGGGAGGGAACGGGAGAAGAGCTTCTGTTACCTCTCTTCCCCCACTTCCCTAGTCTCTTGCTAGGGTCTCCACATGGTTGAAACTAACCAACAGCCAGAGAGCAAGGGAGACCAATTGGGAGGGGACAGACAGCGGGGCTGAGTAGGACTGACAATGGATTGGAGGTGGGAGATCTTCAGAACAATGTTGGAAGCTTGTAATTCAATCATATTGTAAGTACATACAAGCACAGGCTTTTAGTGTTCCAGTTAAAAATAGACATTTGCAGATAGAAGTGTTGGCATGAAAAAGACAGTTGAGGAATACTTCAAAGCCTAAGGAAGGAGTCTGGATAAGACACCCTCAATTCCATGAATTCAACTTACCAGAATGGTGGTGACAATGAGTGTTCGATTGGCCAGTGAATCAGTAATATTGCTGGACTTGTCTTTGTTGCTGTCCGTCATGTTAAGCCCACTGTTGGAATTCCAAATCCCAATCTACACAGAACACAGTACATCAGAGGCTGCTGGCTGTCAGTGTGGCATTTACACCAAAGAGAGGACCCTTCTCTACCAGGAATGGGCACAAAAGCTCACAGTTTGGGACACCAGGGCATCACAGTAGAAGCTACTAAACGTGGGGAAATGAAACAATGGAGGAATGAATGTGTAGACAAAATAGGATATATCTGTGCTACTGGGGACGGGGTAGGTGGAGGTCTTTTTCTTTTTAATTTAGTAAGCTCATTGTTCTTTTCTAAATTAAAAATATTTAAAAATTCTTAAATGAATATCAGATTTTTCTTCCTATATATATTTGTTGAGTATCTACTTATGTGCTGGGCACTGCTCTAGGCATCTGAGGACTAAACAATGAATAAAACATACAAGAGTTTCTTTCCTTGTGGAGCTTACATTCTACTTATATAAACCTTAGGCTGCCAAAGTAGTATCATTAGTTTATTTAAAATTTATGAATAATGGGGTGAAGGAGCAGGGTGAATGGTGGAGAGACCAGGCATCTAAAAGGGAAAGATAGTGGGGTGTCGAGGCTCATGCCTATAGTCCCAGTGCTTTGGAAGGCCAAGGTGGGAGACCAGGTGTTCAAGACCAGCCTAGGCAACAGAGTGAGACCTGATCTATACAAAAAATTAAAAAAAAAATAGCCAGACATGATGGCACACGCCTTCAGTCTCAGCTACTCAGGAGGCTGAGATGGGAGGATGGCTTGGGTCCAGGAAGTCAGGACTGCAGTGAGCCGTGATTGCACCACTGCACTTCAGCCTGGGTGACAAAGCGAGACACTGAAAAAACCAGAGTAATTTTTTCTTTAAAAAGGGAAAGAAAAACGGAAGAAAACGTGTCATGTGCATGAGAAGTAGACTACGTTCAGGGCCTGTCTTCTTTAAGGAGGCAAAGCTAGGCAAAGAGTGCCTCTTGTGAGCCCTAGCAAGACTCTGTTCATCTCTCTGTCACAGCAGCTAGCAAGCTAGCATCTTCTGTTATGATTTATCGTTTACCTCTCTTGTCTGTCCACTTGGTCATGAACTACTTCAGTGAGGGTGCTCACTTTTACTGCCCACTGATTTTACTGTCACAAAACCAACCACGGCAACTGGCGTTCAGTAAAGACCATTACTCTTTTTTAAAAATAATGATCTGCAATTTTCTCCAGTGGTCAAGTCTCTCCTGGGTTGTGAGGCCGTGTAGAAGTATATGGATTCATTCAGCCTCTGTGGGAACCCAGAAGAAGAGCCTTTGGGATTTTGAGCTATTTTTCCGAATCTTTCTTTAGGCATTTACTGCCAGCCTCACGTGGTGGCCTGCAAGTATGTTTTAGAGCCAGGAAGACCTTGTTGCTGTGTGTCCTTGAATGAGATTCTAATCTTTCTGAGCTTCCGTCGATTCTTTACCTATAAAGTATTTCACAGGAATAATGAGAAGATCAAATAATCAGATGATGTATGTGGAAGAGTTGGTGTGTGTTGTTAAGAGCTGCACACGTAGTAGCAAGAAAGGACACTGAAACGACTGCCTCAGTCATTTCTTCAACCTTACCCTGTCATGAAGGAATTTGGACTCATTTTTTTAAAAATTCAGAATCTGATAAAGTAAAAGAGCTATGACAAGTGGAGGAAGTTTCGGAACATGAACACTTGGACCTGCTCTGAGATGGACAGCGTGGAGCTATGCTTGGTCCCTAAATATGTTCCTCCAATGGGAAGACAGATGGGAGTGTTAGGCTCCATCCTCCTTTGCTTTTCTATTTCTTGACTCTGATGTACTGCCTATATTTAGCAGCTGGAAATTCATCTAGCTTGACAAGTATCCCTTTTAGAGACATCAATGCTTTGAGGAAGTTTCAAGGACTATTACACATTCACACATCAGTGTAAACTATTTTAATTTCAGTTTTATTTCCTGTACTTAGTGAGGGTTAGTTGATTGGTGTAGGTAAATGGGGGAATGGGATAGTTTTTGCATTTGAAAATATTGTGATCCTGTCTGAAAAGAGGTGTTTGTTGGGTTCTAGGCTGTACTCTTGATAACCATTCAACATTTCCAGGATCTAGTGTGATGAGTATCACCTAGAATGCACATTATACATCTATTGGTTGAATAATCTTTAGCTTTCTTAATTTGGCTTTAGACTCAGGAAAAGTAGACAGCATTTTCTTCTTCCTCTTCTCAACCTCCATCCCTTCTTCTGAGGCAGGGACCCTTGCTTCTAGGAAATGTAACTCAGGCTAAATATACCTGTCTATTGATTTTCATCCAAGGCTGTGCTTTAGGTTGTGAACAATTGATTCCTAGCTCCATGAAGAGGGTGTGTAAATTGGGTCCTGACTATACTTCTAATTAAACCTTCACTTAGACACTGAGGAGAAGGGAATCTACTTTTTAATTAAGTAAGTATTGAAGGGTGGAGAAAATAACTGTTTTTAGCCACTTGATTAAGTGATAGGATTCATTCTCTTTAAATCTTATTTCTATTAATGTCAAGTATGTGTGTGTTGGAAGGAACTACCATAATATTTGAAAACAACAGTGTTCAATGGCCTAGCAATATCACTGTCTTGTAAAATAAAACTTGAATTTGTAGACAAATGCACCCCACAGCTTGATGTCTGGTTTTTCTTTCTTTTGCTATCTGCACTAAAAGTGCAGAAGCTAAGAATCATTGCTGCTGTCGACCCGGTCAACTAAGTCCCAAGTTTAAACTTTCCTCCTTAAAATGAGAAAACAGTGACCATTTTTTTCCCTTATTATCTCTAAGAGGGACCTACAGGAGATCCTTTAAATGTAGACCAGAAGAGTATCAAAATATAGTAAAGGTCAGGCTATTCCTGGGAAATGTACAGTATATATGTGCCATTTGAATGACTTCAGTCTTCTGTTTCCGAACTTGTAATCAGCAAAACAGAATTGTGTGTGTGTGCGCGCACGCACATGTGTGCAACTGTGTCTTTTAAACCCAAGTAGTCAAGTGGCTTTATCTGTTACTTGAAGTAAATGAATATGTTGTCAGGAAATGGATGTCTCCCTTTAAAGAAGTCACATCTCATGATTCATGTGTGCTGGAGAGAGGGGTGAAGTTAAGAAGATGCCTGGACATTTGACATTTCGGTCCTGTTCTATGACCTAGGAGGAGTGCCTCCAGGGGGTGGAACCTCGGTTTTCAAACTTCATAGTGAAAGCAGATAGCAGTCATTTACCGGTGAGAAGTAATGGAGGTTGGATCAGTTACTTGTGGGGAGGAGCACTCTGTATCTAAATTATCTGGCCCTGATTTACTTTACTTTGTAAGCTGGCGCAAGGGAGCAGCCATGTGTTATCTAGGACAACTGAGAAAAGCATCTGAAAATGAGTGCCCAAATGACATTAGGCAAACTTTTTTTTAAAAAGCGATGCAATAAAAAGGGCGTTCAGAGAGTGACTAGTATCTATCTTCTAAACCTAGACAGTGATTCATGTAAACTTAACATCTAAAATGGCTGAGGGAAATAATCAGGTATCTGGGGAAAAGATAAAGGTATGTGTATTTCCTGTATTACGAGCCTTATATCACACATCTTTTAGTGAGGGATGTTGTAAAGATTGCTACCTCCCTCTTTTGGAAAGAATTTCGGGTGAATAATACTATTCTAAAATAAGTCAGGGTACTGAGGACAGCTTTTGGAATTGAAACATGATGAAGGTGAATTTTTGTTTTAGTTGGAGACTTCTGGAGAAAGTGTGATGTGTTTGTTGGGTCTGACTGTGTCGCCTGTGCTAGAACTCAGGTTACCGTGAATTTTTGACGAGGAGTCATAACACAAAACAGCACACCACGGTGTATACAACTTATAGGAACATGAACATCCCTCTTCCAGGAGGGAAGAGGCATGAAGGCATAGAGGATCAAGACCAGAAAGTTACATCCCTGGGGAGCGTGTGTGGCTCTTGCAGCTTAGTGACAAATACAGGACATCCCCCCTCCCCTGTATATAATTTCAAAGCTTGGATTCCATTCCCTAGGATATTTGTATTAGATTAATTCAAAGTGCCCAGAGTCTCAAGATGGATTAGTATAATAGGTTTTTGTTTTTTGTTTTTTCTTTTTCTGGGTGCCAGTTAGGTTCATCTATTTACCAGTGAAATTGTAGTGAGGAAACCAGATCACCTTCTACGTGCACTTAGTAGCCTTGTTCACTGAAGATTAAAACAAGTCTTTTAAACCTGTGCTTTGAAAACTTAAAAAGAAAAAAATTTTGAATTCATCACTGAGTACTACTAAGAGGGAGACAAGGTTTTTGGCTACAGGGAGAAACTTGTGTACACTTTCTGTGACATAGCTGATAATTTGAAAGATGAAAGTGAACCTGAGAAGTTGAACGACCTGAAGCAATTTAAGATCTATTCGTCAGTCCGTAGATCTTTTTTTTACCAAGTAGTTTTAGAGAGACAGAGACAGAGAGGGAAGGAAGGAGAGGAGGAAGACAAAGAGAAAGAGGAGATGAAAGAAAATGTTTGCTTATCAGGGGGACCTTTCTCTGATCCAATGTTTTCAATGTCTCATATTTGCTTATATAAAGCTATGCACATTCATTGGCAACATGGCACTGTATAATAAACTATAAAATAGTAGGTGTTATAATTCACAAGATAATCTCATTTCCTTTCCAAGGTCCCTAATGTTTGTGTCTTCTTTAGAACTGTGGCTCTAAAACAAATTGCAAGACAGTATGCTCTGATGAAGATATCGTGCAAAACAAAAGATAGCTCATGAGAAAAGGAAATTTCTGAAAATGGTTCATATTTTGTGGTGGTGACATTGGAGGAGATGTCCTAGCCTTCTGACTCTGTAGCCTATTTGACTAGTCTCATGGATCAAATCTATTGTTGTTTTTATCCCCCTTAGGGAAAATATTTAGTGATTTGAGAAGGAATATAAGTAGGTCAGTGTCTCCTTCTGTTACAGTTACCTGCTTTCAATCCTAACAGGGACTGATCCTGCCTGGGAGAAACAAAAATAATCTTGGGGCAAATATTTAATCCATCATTATTTAATCCATTGCAAACCTGTTTTCAATTCACAGGTGATGTTGTTGAGAGACAGCATATTCAATCACTCCTCCTCTCTCTTTACATAGAACATTCCCTCTAAACTGCAATTGGAGAGCTACAGGTCTGGTAACATTGGAAGGGCACAGGCTTTTCCAATGACATTCCCCATCCCACCCCCAGGTTTCCTGCAGGTGTTGTCAGAGTACAAACCTTCTTCCACACTTTATACAAGTGTTTAGACACTTCGCCAGCAGCCTTGGTTTTCAGAGAGAAAAATAAAATAAAAATAGCACTTAATTAAAATGGAGAGTGAAACCCAGAAGGAATCATGGTGTGTGAGTGCTTAGAGTGTTACAGTTCCCACCCATTGTTTGGAATTTGCATCTTAATTCAATATAAAGCCTGACAATAGGAACAGCAAAGAGATGAATCGAGACTTGTGTCTCACAGAAGTTACCTGGTGGTAAGACTCAATTGTTACTTTTCCTTTTGCACACCAAAAAATGCTTTAAAGTGCTTTTCAGTGTATACAGGTATGCTGCAGTGTTAAGGGTCTTCAGTGTTCCTTAAGAAGACCCTTTTAAGGCATGGGTAACTAAAACCAATCAATCAATCAACCAGCAAATCAATCAATACACACACACACACACACACACACACACACACATAATTCCTAACCAAAAGAAGAAGTATGCTTGATGACTTCTTCTTTGATTATAGGTTTCCAGGCAGTAGAAATTTGAGTGAAAGTGAGAATGGGATTTTTCTAATAATTTTTCCTATTGAATCCAAGAGAGGCTGACATAAAAAGATTGGGCATTTCCTCCCTCGGCTCCTGAGAGAGACGTGTTGGCTTCCCTCATTGCCTTAAGGCCCAATCAGCCTTCTCAGGAATTGAGCTCAAGACACCTGAAGAGAGAAAAGTTATTGCAAACAATGAAGAGATAAGAAACAAACACAAAACACTTTCATCTAATTCGATTTTGCCTTTGATGGAAAAACACCAATGCAATGTGCATAATATTACAGTGTGTAGGTAGCTGTGAAAGCATAACAATGGCTCTCCATCTATTTCATCATTCACCTAGCCAAAAAGATGTTTGCTTAACAGCTTTTCTTCCCCCTGCAGTGCTATACGAAAGAGGAGAACAGAGTGGGGAAAAGACTCGTGCTTCAAGAAGCAGACATTTTCTTTAAACAATTATAGGCTTTTAGATCATAACAAGTATTTTTTTTCTTTTGTTCCCTCCAGCCAGCATCCCACACACACCATTGTGGAGGCTGGCTGGATGTCTTGTGCTCTATCAGAGCATGTTAGACCAACAGAGCGGCAAATCAGAGTGAAGAGGAGGCCAGAAGATGGGAGAGGCATATTTGAAGTGAGAAACCTGCATGTATCATGTGTACCCTCAAAACTGCAAACTAATTATTTTCCTCAAACATTTCACACCACTGGATCACCTTCTAATACATTCGGCCTGAATGATCTTTGTTCCCATTAATGTTTTTTTGAGGGGGAGGGGTAGTTAGCTCCTGCAAAAAAAATATGTCCCAGTTAACAAAAACAAGAAAACAGAAATGAAAACCTTACCTCATTTACAAAAAATCAACCCAACTAATCTAATTAAGCAAGCAATCGATTGTTCCCAAAGCCACTCTTATATTAAACACACTGTCTTATTCGCTATAGTGGGAAAAAAATGTCAGATTATAGAGTTTTCTGTTGAGGTGATTGTTTTGGGGGTTTCAATTGTTTTTCTGTAAGATTCTCAGTGTAAAATCTTCAGATTCTAAGTGTTAATTCCAACGTATAGTCATGAATATTAAAATTGGCATAATAAAATATACTGAGAAGCCAAATTCTTTTATCATTATTATTTAACCAAATAGTTTACATTGGTATTACTCTAAATAATCACTAAAGTAGAACTTTAAACATGGAGAGATTCAGATTTACAACTAAAATAATCCTAAAATGAGAACCCAACATTAAAATACAGTTTTTTGATGTTTGTCCTAAAATTAAGAATGCAAAGTTAATTTGCTCCAGTACATCCCTTCTATCCTACTTTATTCTGCCTGTCACCAATCTCAAAATGGAATGAAATGTGCAATTAAAATTAATTTCTGGGTAACCCTTGGATGCCATTCCATCAATAAACCATTGACAGCTTCTGCTTTTCCAAGTCTAAACTCAATTTGTTAAAAGCTTTAAGACATGGGCCTAATGACACCCAACTCTAGGGTTATATATGTAATAATATAAACACACTAGCTATATAAATGAAGCACAATATAAACACTAGTTAGCATTGCTATTACTAAGACATGAAATTTAAGAATCTAGCACAGCAACTTCTATCTGCAGATAAAAGAGATTTAAAAACTGGATGTAAAATAACATGCTGAATCACTTCATCATTCACTTACTTGTCTGTGCAATTTAGTAAAAATGCTTGAGCAATGCTCGTTTGTTATTTTATTTATTTATTATTAAGGAGGTTACCTTTTCAGTTCCTTCTTCTTTGAGACTAATAATGTCCAGATCAAAATCCTTCCTCAAGCCATTGGTTTTATTAAAGGTGATATGCCCAGTCAAGCCATCCCACCGAGCCTGTGGACAAGAAGAAATGTGGCTGTTACTGTTAAACATTTATCCTAATTCCTGAGACCATCAAAATTATAATACCTCAAATCCATCACAGTATCCAATTATTTGGTTTCATCATGCTGTTATAAACCATTGCACTGGTTCAGCAACATGATAGCAGAACACGTCGTCGTTTTATTAGCACTCATTTATTCTGTCAGTTCTAACACCCTAACCCAGTCAAACCTGTCATCGTGGCTACCTAAATGGACAGTATGGAGAAAATTGCTGTAAAATAGTCTGCACATGGAATACACAAAGTCTGACAAATGACAATATTCTGTTTTCCAAGGTCAATTCAAATTCCTTTTGAGATATGGCTGAGTGGAAGTGAGTCCTTGCTTTTTCTTTCTCTGTGAAAAGAATATAGACCAATATAGTCCAATGATGTATTGCAGAGTTTTCAGGCTGATGACTTAGCGTGTTTGCGTCATTTGGGCATTGTAATTTCCCGTGGCTGCTGTAGCAAATAATCACAAACGTGGGTGCTCAAAACAACAGAAATTTATTTTCTCAAGGTTATGGAGGCCTGAAATCCAAAATCAGTATGACTGGCTGGAATTAAAGTGTCAGCAGGACCGAGCTGTCTCTGGAGGCTCGAGGGAAGACCCTATTCTTTGCTTCCTTCTGCTTCTGGTAGCTTCTGGCACTCCTCCTTCTCTTGTGGTTCCATCACTGCAACCTCTGCCTCAGTGATCACATTTCCTCCTCCCCTTCTGTCTGCATAAAAGCTCCCTCTGCGAGGTGGAGGTTGTAGTGAGCCAACATCCTTCCACTGCACTCCAGGAGCCTGGGCGACAGAGCAAGACTCTGTCTCAAACAAACAAACAAACAAACAAACCAAACAGGTCGGGCGCAGTGGCTTGCACCTGTAATCCCAGCACTTTGGGAGGCCAAGGCAGGCGGATCACCTGAAGTTAGGAGATTGAGACCATCCTGGCTAGCACGGTGAAACCCCGTCTCTACTAAAAATACAAAAAATTAGCCAGGCGTGGTGGCGCATGCTGGTAATCCCAGCTACTTGGGAGGCTGAGGCAGGAGAATCGCTTGAACCTGGGCGGCAGAGGTTGCAGTGAGCTGAGATGGCGCCATTGCACTCCAGCCTGATGACAGAGCGAGACTCCATCTTAAAAAGACAAAGAAAACGAAAAAGAAGAAGAAAAAGAAAAAAAACTCCTTTTGCTTCTCTCTTATAAAGACACTTGTGATTGTATTTAGAACTCACCTGGATAATCTCCCCATCTCAAAAATTCTTAATTTAATCACTATGCAAAGGCCTTTTTGCTACATAAGGTAACATTTACAGGTTCCAGGGATGAGGACGTGGGTATCTTTTGAGGGAGCTGCTCTTCTGCCTACCCTATACATCAACATCATTTCAAATAATAAAAAATTCACAATAGTCCGCCTTTCCCAGAACTCACATTAGATATCTCTGGTGGGTTTATTAAATAGAAAGTGTTGGCCCTTGGGAGAGTCTTCAGCTTCAATCATTAGGTGATTTTTGGCAACCTTGTTTATTTGAGTTTCACTTACAACTGGGGATAAAGGAAAACTCGGCTATTTGTATCCACTTAGCTGTTTTTCTCCCTCTTGACTTTACCAGATTCATTAGACATGCATAAAATGGGAAGATCCTGAAGAATTACACTATTTGCAGTTATTTGAGCCATGTGTATCTGTTGAATGTATTTACCCATTTGGCCAAGAGGCAGAGCAATGCAGTGGAAAGAACATTGAATTTTCCATACCTCTGGAGCCGAATATCTGCAGTGTAACTTCAGGCCAACTCATTAATTTCTCAGCTCATAATCCCATCTAAAAGTGGTGAAATATCTTTGATTGGGAGTCAAGAAATCAAGTTTAGTCTTTAAGCCACTATCAAGTTTTGTGGCCTTGGTTGAGTCATTTTGTCCTTTTTTTAGGCCACAGAGGAATGCACATTAAGGGAAGATGTTGCATAAAACGAGCTTTAGCTCTGGATTTCTACAATCATAGGCAAGATACCATAGAGGGGTTTAATGAAGTTGAAAGTGATTCATTAAGCACCTATGATCTGCAAGCTGGGCTACATAAAACATAAAACACAGTTGTTATACTCAGATTTTAATGTAAAACATATTACTATCTGGGGAGAGAAGACTACAGAATTTGGTTCAATTATGTTTTCACTATTAATTCATTTGGAAAATATTCATTTATTGAGTATCTTCTCTGTGCAGGAAAGTATGATGAGAATACAGCACCTAGAAGTTTACAGTTTAGTAGGAACAAACACATTAAAGGATTTCCATAAAGCACTTTAGGTTTGAGGATAAAGATTTGCATAGAATATTGAAGAATGAAGTATGGAGAAGAGCACTTATCCCAACTGAAGGCAAGAATGCTTGAGCTCACAAAGGATAAGCCCACCAAGCAAAGATTCATGGGCTGCGTAAAAACATGAAATAAAGAACATGTTGTAAGTTTGCCATGAGACTCTAATGTAAAGTAGGAACTGATGCGAAATGAGCCTAGGAAGGCCAGTAGTCTGTTCATAAAGGTGTTATGAAGCATGCTAGTTTTCTTGGACATTGCTCAGTAGACTTTTGGGGAATCATGGAGGTGTTTTAAACATGTGTTGCCATGGTCAGATGTGCATAGGGAGATGATTTGATATCTCTTTTATAATTGGGGAGAATGACTTGGAGAAGGTCAATATTGTAAGCAGCGTGTTGGTTAGCGGGTAGTTCTCATAGAACAAAATGTATACAATCATATTCATATGCCCAAATATGAACATAGGGATAGCACAATTCCTCCAGTTCCCTGTCCCACCAACTTGCACACCTTTAAATATTAATGAAAATAGTCCCACAGCAGGATAGACAGAATTTCATAAAGAACACGTTAATAAATCAGCTTAAATGTAAGGAACCAGTATAATTGGCCAAAACATATTTTCTGGCTACCATTCAGTTAGAGTGGATATTATGACAAAAGTATATTTTATCACTTAATAGTTCTGGAAGTTAAATCAATGGTAGGGAATGATATATGGACAAGAAAAGCTCCAACTTTTTCCTCTAAGCCATCTCGATGGCAAACTAGGTGCTGCCTAAGTGCTATAACATATAGAAAGAAATGCTTCTTCAGATCCTAGTACCTAGTCTCTAGAGTTTATTGCCAAGGAAGACCATAATATCAAACGCTGGCAGTAGCTTTAAAAATGACTGGCATATCTTTATGGTCAGTAGTAACACCTGTTATCACACTGGCTGAGGTCCAGGTAATCAAGTCTCTGTAATGGGACAAAAACTATCACCAATCAACACAAGTAGGAGGTGTCCTCTTGTGTCTATTTAGGTACACCTCTTGGCATTGCATTCTCCTTTTTCTCCCCGTCACACCTCTATTCTAGTTTTTGTACTCTGGTCATTCCTTCTTATTTTGCAAGCCAAAGGCTGGCTTTGTGGATTGATGGGTTAAATGAGAGCCATGAAATAAGCTGCTGTGTTAGGCTTACAACATCTGTCTGAGAGCTGAGAACAATTTGTGTAACGCTTTGGTTGAGTGGAAATCTCTACTGTGTTGGGGGTTTGAATTAAGTCAGTTTTCAGGTCCCTTTTTCATGCCTCTAAACAATGTGCTCTCCCAACTGTCCTCCTGACCTGTTTGAAAGGAGGTGGTTATCTTCATTAAATTCTACAGGATTTTCAGAAAGCTTTTTTCTAAAGGCAACTTCTCCTTTATGGGGCTCGTGTTGTGAGTCAATTTGGTACATTGTCCAGAGTTTACAGGGGTCTCTGAAAATGTGCAGAATTGGTAGCATTTATCTCTTAGTGGAGGATATAGCTTATAGCGGGGTCTTAAAACCCAGTTCAGAAATCCAATTTCGTTCCCTAACTGTGCCTGTTGTGTCCCTTTGTTTGGGTTCCCTTGCATTGATTTTATTCTTGAACTTAGTGTTCCAATCACTGGTGCAGAGTAATTCCCACTTCTTGCTTTTTCTCCTGTTCATCGAAGTGGCAAAAAAGTTCCCTTTTCATATTTTAACAATGCTTCCTTCTCTGCCTCAAATATCTGCAAAGACTCCCTATGTGATTCTTCACTGAAAGAAAATATCTTTGACCTTCAGCGTCAAATTTCCCTTACTGGCACAATTGCCCATGTCTTCCTGCCTCTCATCCCCTAGATTAGCTGCATTTCTGTATATGTTCTTTGTTTTTCTGTAAACTCATTGTTGATAAGCATTTATTCATCATCAATACATTATTGATTAGGGTGAATAAGCAATGACTACTTCCAGGATGTGATGAATAGGATCCATGAGGAATTCATTTTTCTGGGACAGGGCTGAAGCATATACAATTTAGATAATGATATATAATTATATTATCCATAATTACCATGTGCTTGCCTTATGGAGAAGCATTTGCAGAGGGGACAATTATAGTATACTTAAAACAGAAAACAATACTTAAACTATTGTCCCTATTTTAGGAAAGAGCTTTATTTTCTACCCTGCATCAGACCTTCATGTCTACAACTGCTTAATAGCAACTAAATCAAATACTGTGAGTTTTCCTCATTCGTCTTACTGGACACACTATCTGATAATCAAGAGACAGCAATCAAGAGCTAAAAGAAGAAAAATAAAAGGTTTCATGAATATCTTATTGTATATTCTTTCTCAAGATATTTGTTGTCCAAATTAAATGCATACATTTTATTATTAGAGAAGTAAGGGGCTAGCACCTGACTCTGGGCTCTTATGATAATCAACTCTTAATGTCATTAGTTAAAATGATTTCTTTTACTTATTTACTTTTTCTGAAAGGGAATTTTTTTCTTCAACTTTGATGTTAAGTTCGGGGTACATGTGCGGATATGCAGGTTTGTTACACAGGTAAATGTGTTTCATGGTGTTTTGCTGCACAGATCTTCCCATCACCTAGGTATTAAGCTTAGCATCCATTCGCTGT